CCACCACTATAGGTCATAGTTCAAAGGTTGTAAGTTATCAAAGTGCTTATTTGAACTGTTCTTTGAGAGAAATAAAGAAGTGATGCTCTTGTGATTTACAGACATTTTTCATTCTCTGATATTCAATATTTGAATAATTCATATCGATATTTCACGGGATGCCACAGTGTGGCATTTGTTTAGCTCATTCTCTACTACGGCAAAATGCTTGCTATTTTATTCGTGTCATCAGATTCACTGACTGCATCATTCTTTAATTTTGTTATGCAAATTTTTATTTGCTTACTTTGAAATTAAATTCATACTAATTTATAGACAGCATATCATAGCATTGAGCAGTGAATGAGCATGCAGTTGTAATTTTGTACTTTCTTACTATTAATTGATTCATTTCTGATCTTTACTTATATACGAACTGTAATGCTTGTTTGTATTGCTTGCTTTTTCAGCATTTTTTGCTACACTTATGTATTCTCTCTTTTTTTCAAAATAATTTTTGTCATCACAGTACACGTAATTTTATTAGATCTCAAAATAAGCAGTACTGCTCAAATTTTCACTATTGCTAACATTTTTCTTCTAATATGTCACCATTTATAATTTATCATTTGTTGGATGCAATTTTAAATTCTTTCAACAATAAGATCTTTTTTTCGCCTGATGATAGATTTTGTTAACAATTTAATTAACAATATTAATGGTAATTGTTGTCATGTTTATAATGAACTTGCCGATTAAATACATATCTTTTTTGCTATTTTTACTATAACATTCATTATTATTATTGAATGAAATTATAATTAGGAGATATAATTTGATTTTTCAATACTTATTATCATTATTATTAATTACTATTATTATTTTATTAGTATTATTATTAATTACTATTATTATTATAGCTCACTGATGTAATGTTTATTAATTTTGCTTGTTAGGAAAAACAAAATTACGGAGTGAACGAAAAATGAGAAATGGTAATAGAATGAAAAGTACTAATTTGTGAGCTGACTTGTTAATTATGCAGAATTAGTCAAAATAATTAAGCATTATGTTGCTACATGTGTTTTCTTAACATATTGAACAACAGTGTATGGTAACGTTTGCTAGCATTTTTTTCTTTAATTTGAAATTTGACATTTTGATGTCATTTAATTTTATGCTTTTTCAAACACTCGCAGTGCACGTTGTGTCTTTGCTTTTTCACTTTTTCAATAATTGCTTGCTGTATGATTTACTTTTCGCCTTCAGTCTTTGTTCTTTTATGCGTGCAAGTAACGGTCAAGCAAATAGCGGCAGACAGCAACTGTTGTCATTGTTCCGTACTTTTTACTGCATTTTTGTTTTCTAAGCGTAAACAAAAAAAATGCTCACATTCAAGTCAAAAAACTTTGTAGCTTTAAATATTTTTAATTTGTAATTTCTTACAATGATATGAAGGATTCCTCTTGTTATAATCTAATCTGTCAATCGATTAAATTAACTTTCAATCATTAAATGGGTGCTCAAGAGCGATCAGATCACATCAAATCTAGAGAATATAGTCTACTTTCTTAGCTGGCTGCTGGCATTTGCTGCTGCAACTTTAATTTCTTAACCACTAGATAATTTGATGAATGGTCAATTTGACTTTTCTATATTGCTTTAGGCTATATTTATACATATAACTATAACTACATGCTTACTCATTCATTTTTTCATAGTGAAATGTTGAAAAATTTGCCGTTTTTAACATGCAAACTGTTATTGCTTGTTTGTATTATTCTTAAGTATTACCTTTGTTGCGTAATTTACATGCAAAAAGCTGCTAATTTGCCAAATCTAAATCATTAATATAACTTTGTGAAAAAATTTCTCATAGAATGAAAGAAAGCATTGAAAAATACCCAAAAGCTGGCAGTTGAAATGTTAAAATTTGGTAGTAATACGTAAGGGTTCAGATTCTGTGTTAGAAAGCATTGTGTATTACTTTTAGTTGATTAGTTGTATGAACTAGAATTAACAAGTCTTTGATTCATTGCTCATTATAAATTCCTTTCATAAACTTTCTGCTCATTCTGATAAGTCAACAATATTTTCGTATAAAATATCTTTGAAACTGCAAATTTAATTATTGTATACACACTGGAGCAGAAATAAATGAAGTACTAATTAATATTATAAATATTATGATTCAATTTTTCGCTCTAACGAATAAACAACGACTGTTCAGAAATGTTTTCGTACCATTTAAAATTTTAAAATTTACAAGTTTGTATTTTTTCTCCATGAATTATAGATAGTAGTGTATCATAATATTTTCAAGCAATTAAGATTTTTGATGCTGTTCATGTATTTCACGACTAATAAATGTTTGATGTATCAACGCAAGACTGCGTAACCTTTGTTTTTTATAACGCTAAGTTTTGTTTATCACATAAATTACAATTTCAATTCATGTACGCATTCTCACCTAACTCTGTTTGATTCAGATTGATCAAAATGTAAAAACTGAAAAGTAATCGAATTTTTTATTTTATTTCGTGTAGAATTTCTGGATAATTTTCATAGAAATTAGTTCTTTAAAGTCTGTATATGATAAGTAAGGAATAAATAATTTTGATTAAAATTTTTGCAACATCAGAAAATGTAAATCATTGAAGTGACTTGCATATTCAGTGTATTTAGCATTTCATGAATTCTATTTCCATTCTGTAGTTATAAATTGTTCACCTTATCTCATTCACCATTTTTTACTAAGTTTACTTTTGTACTAATTCTAAGTCACATACCTTTAGTTACCAAAATAATTTTACATAAAAGTAACGTCTAGAGACTTTTTAATGTAAAAAGTACGGTTAAAAATGCTAGAAACATTGATTTAGCAAGAAAAAAGATGCAAGAAAGTGTCAGTGATTTACTATCTTGACTATTCACTTTACTTTTTAAATTTTTACTAAATGTGGCATTGGTAAATGAGTGAGTAAAATGCAAGTCAAATAAGCGTTTGCAAATTAGAGTTTCTCACTGTTGGCTTGCAATCAAGAAGAAAAGAATAGCAAGCAGGAAAAACGTTTTGGACTGAAGTTTGTGAAGAAGAAAAGTATGCAACTTTTAGAATCTATTTTTGTGTAATCGATAGATAAAACAACGAATGAATTAAATGTAGCAAGCTTTACTTTATAAGTGGGTAGTATGTGGGTTAGATATATGTATGCTTACTGGCATGATTATGTATAGATCGGTATTGCATATTATTTAATTATTTATATGTTATTTAGAGGTAAGAAGTGCGTCAATTCCTGAATATGAGAATGGAAATATTTTGCGGTTAATTTTTCTCAACTTAGACTAAAAGTTAAACTTTTGCATGTCCATTCGTTCATCCTGTCTTTACTAACAATTATAGATTATATATTAATAATAATGGTTTGTTACTTAATTTGCATATCGACTTTATTGTTTTGTACACTTTTCATTTCATTTATGGGAATAAAGTGAATAATATCAGGCATTTTACTAATTAATTTTAAGAAAGAATTCAAATGTTGATGAAGTTAGTTGCTTCAAACTTGGTAGTAGTCATCTGGGAAACAGATATTATACTTTGCCGCATATGAATGCAATTCAAATTCTGTGTTCAAACAAGATTTGATCGTTCTGTATAACATATACTTTTAGGTATTGGTTGTTTACGTATATAATGGATAAAATAATCTTTTAACAAGCGATGAATTCAGAATTATATTACTGCGTTGGCATAATGCTATTTTAGTGCAACCGAGGAGGATTATTATTTTCTGCAATTTCATTAGAGGGGAAAAAAAATGTTTTGGATTACAACTTAGTTAAAATTTTAGCTGATTAAGGGTATTTACAAACACACTCACCCATATGTGCTCTACTGCAACTGCAAAAACAATAAAACCCAGTACAGTAGCATTCATTTCATCTGTACATACCAATACCAGTACTAATTATTTTCTTATTTGTTTATTAATTCTCATTCATTTTGCTCAATTTATTGATGCAGCAAGCTCAAAGCAAAGAGCTCAGAAAGGTAAAAATAAAAGAATTATTATTAATTTTTATTAATATCGCAATGATCATACTAGTTTGACGAGTTGGACTAAGTATCAAGATTTTTGCTTCATTTATTTACATTGTAAAGATAAAATTTCGCTCTATGAGAATGTAATTTACTTGAAAAAACTAACTAGCTAAATAACGAAGTTGATTGTTGCATGAAAAGATTTATTGTTGCTGCTGCTACACTGATGACTGCTTCCAACTAAAATTCATCGTGTAATTTTCAAACAGTTTAACAAGAATTATCGCAAAATTATAGAAAGTTAATATTTTTTTGAGTACTTGTCGATGATATTTTAGTTGCTAATTACTGTCTCATGTTTAATATTCAACTTTTAAGATGTTAGAGCATATCTTTATGATCTGTAATTGCAGTTAAGATTTAGAGCATTTATGGGAGTAATTTTTACTCTATGACATGCTTGTTAAACTTAGCGAACTGTAACTGTAGATGTATATAAGCTTTAAAAGTCTCGTTAATTGCTTCTGAAAGTTGAAATATTTTGTATGAATGAAAAATTCTTAGCTTGAATTTCAGTTAAAGGGAAATAAGTGTTACTGCTTATCGCATGAAATTTACAAATCAGTTTATGTAACAGTATTAGATATTTTTGTTCGCTTTTAATTACTGCTCTATTTTTCTTTCATTAAACATCTTATATTAAATTATTTAACAGTATTTATTCTCAAAACCAAACTTTTCTTTCGTTCATAGTTTTTAGTTTTCGAATTATATTTATAAAATTGTCAAAATAAAGCTTTCATAAATGTAAATTTTGAGAATTTTTTTAAAATTGATATTGTGGTCAAAAATATTTGTTTACTCGAAGAAAGCTTATCATTTTTGCTACATTTCTGAAGAACTTTGAAAAATTTAAAAACTATTAAAAATTTAGTAGGTGAGTTTTGTTCTTTTAAAAATTTTTCCTTCATTAATGAATATATTTCTGATTCTATGTTTGTACGAATTTATAGTGCCATCAGCTCCGCGGGATCTGGAAGTTGTTTTGGTTAATGCTTCTGCAGTAAAGGTGAGCTGGGAGAAACCACTGTATGCAAATGGCGATATCATCGGATATTATGTATATAAAGATCGGTTGTTAAACGGTGAACCTGTAAATGACAAGTTACAGCGAGCCATTATCTATGATCAACATGTAAGTTATTATTGAAAATTTGTTCTTTTTTTTGCTACATTAAATTATTAAAACTAAAATGATTATTATTATGAAAAGTATATAATCTAATTACTTTCTTGATCCACTTATGATTACTAATCCTACAGCAAAATTAATTTTCCTGAAATGCAAAAAAAACTTAGGAAATATTATTTATTCAAGTTATAGATGTATTTAAAGAGCAGAAATACTCATTTGTTTTTCTTATGTATCTGAATGGCACGCCTAATTAAGTTTTAATTACATTTTTTGTATAAGAAATTCTCAAGAGATTATTTTTAATGACTGGCTGGGCGAAATTTCACCTGCATAAATTCTTTTGCTCTTACCTCTAATTGGATAGATATGGTTGTATGCAAAACAAATTTATTTCTGTCGTTTTTTTCTGATTCACTTAATTAAGTTATAATTTTGAAAAAAAAAGAGGCTATTTTCATATTCAGTGCTTAATTGCTTATTATATGGCATAAACGTTTGTGCATTCTCTAAAAAGCACCACTTTGCTGTTAATAAATTACGTTTGTACTGATAAATATCAGCTAAGTTAAGCAGAAGTTATCCAATAAAAAGTGAAATAAATAGCATCATATTTTATATATTTGTCTCCCAGTTGATTTTTCTGATTTAAAATATTGATTACTTAAGATTTTTGTAGAAAACACATACTTTAATTACTGGACTTCAACCAAATACAGAATATTCTTTTCGTGTAAATGCTTTTAACCGACATGGTGACGGTGAATTTAGTCCAAGCAAAAAAATCCTTACTGGAGGAATGCGTAAGTTTGAATCCATCAGCAAATTCTGTTTTTGTTTTTTATGCAAAAGTATCGTAACTGAAATTTTCTTCTTAAAAATTTCCGGTCAATTTCGATCTTTAAACATAGAAATTTCTGTACAGTTAAAGTATATGTTGTTTGTTGTTTTTAGCTCCATCTGAACCCGAAACTCAATCTGTCAGTTTGTTAAGTGATGAAACTCCATTGCGGGCTCGGGTTGACTGGAAACCACCAGCGGTATATTACATAACTTATTTTTAAAAGTGATTCAGTGAAACAAAGCAGTTTCAATTTTTTACATTATTAAGCTGGTATATATATATATATAATATTATGTAATTTTTTGTGTCAAATTATTACATAATACTAACATAACATTTACTGGTTTATCGTTTATTATGATGTTTGAAATTTTCCTATTTTTTTAATGCTTTTTTTTCATAAACTGTGCATAACTTTTTTGGCAAACTAAAAAGTTATTAAAGTGTGGATAATACAGATCTACTTACTTTTCCTCTTAATTTTAATTGAATTATTTTTATAAATTTTCTTTTCAATTATGGGACAATTTCAGTTAACTTATAATTTGCCGATTAACAAATATGTGATCTGGTACAATCCGTTTGATCATAAGAATGCACGGAGACTTGAAGTACCTGGTACACAGAACTTTGTGGTCCTTGATGACTTATGTGCGTGTAAATTATTTTTAATTTAGCTTATTTTAAAAAAAAAGTATCAGTATATTGAAAATAGGAATAAAAATGTTAGCAGTGATCTAAGATTTCGTCTTGAAAGCTCAGCTTGCGTTTTTTATCTTTTTCTTCATGTGCAAAATTAAATCACTATTTTATGGTGTCTTAACTCTGATAATTATTAGCATGAATGTTTTGCTGCTTTTAATACAAACTAATCCAGTAATTCCTAAAAGTTCGTTGCAAGTATGGTAAAAAATTATATAAGTTTGAATATTATTTATGATTGATTCTGTTCGTGCATTTATTTGCGAATCGTCTCACTTTTGACTTTTTATTAGCTTACATACATAGCTTTTTTAAGCATTATTTAACTGTTTTTAGAATTAATAATAATTTTGAAGAAGAAAATATTTTTCGTTTGTATAAAACTTTTACTATTACTACTAAAATCATTGATATGCCAATATTTTCCGTTATTATCTTTCAATCATTATATGCATGTGATCAGAAATGCACATAAAAAATGTGGTTTTAATTGACGTGTAGTAAATTCAGAATACTAGAAATGAAGTCAGTGCACACCGACTTTGATCATTCAACTTTAATTATGTCTGTCAATTAGTGAAAAGTATCATAATGGTGTCAGTTTTGTATGATAAATTTTTGGCTTTTCATTTAATTTTTGTTTTCTGGTTTTGTTTTTATGTTCTCAAACTTCTGTTTGTAGTAATGGGACGACTGTATGAAATCAATATAGCTGCGGAAAATGACGATGGATTAAGTGCCAATAGAACGGAATGGTTGACAACTCCAGTTGGAATACCGGAAGCTGAACCGATGAATGTACGCTATGAGATTAATGCTGATCAGGTGAAGTTTACTTTTAGTTTCGCTAATATTAGTTTTATTAAATAATAATGTCTTTCTAAATATATTTTTGAAATTGTAATCGAAAATGCATAAGTAAGATATAAAGTTCATGGATAATGTATATCATAATTGTAGGTAAATTGTTAGAGAAATTGCGCCAGAAATGTGAAATTTGATCTTATTATTTATCATTATATTTAGTCAGTTTATCTTTATAGTGCTTTGCTACACTAAACGGATATCACTATTATTTATTACTGACTATAGACTCATTTGCTCATTAATCTTATTAATCTCCAGCTGAAGAATTCTAATTTTTGTAAACAAATGGGTACTTCCATAATTCAGATCTTAGTTTTTAAAAAATTTTCATTAAATTTTACCATTTAATATTTTAATTATTATCATTTGAGTAATAGAAGCTGCTGTACAATGTATATTTCATTTTGAACTTTGCAAATAGCGGTTTTTTGATTATCATCTTTTATAGTTTTTCGTAATTTTTGTTTTAAATTTGTTGAGCAGAATTAGCTTCCGGAGTTTTTATGGGCTAGATGAGCCGAGTTTGTTGATGTACCAATTTTTTTGTTTAACGGTGGTAAAATCAAACCGAATTTCTAAACAAAACTTTATAAATTGGAAAATATACACAAAAAAACTGTGTAAGTAAACAGAATATTATAATTTTCTTGTCGCACAAGACTAAATAGAAAGCATTTTCCAATTAATCCATTTTCATTATCATTTTAATTGTAATTCAAAAATTTACATACTGATTAAGCTTACCTTTACAAATTCGTTTCGTAGAACATCTGTGTTGAATCAGCATTTTCTAATGAAAATTTCTGACTTTAAAATGTATTCATTAAAATGAAATAATCGCTATAAAAATTATACTAGAAGAAGCGTTATCACTGCAAGCAGTGTATCATTTGTGTAATGCATGAGATTTGTCTAAGATAAAATTGATCTATCAGATAAATTGATCTATTAAATAAGTTGATCTATTGGATAAAACTGACCTATTAGATGACAAAAAATTAAAATTAGCGGCAAGTACAGAAAAATTCTCAGAAGTTGCATTACTGTGAATTTGTGGTACAAAATTATTATGTTGCAAAAAGAAGGAGTAGAGTAGTGTATGCGAGGCTACCACATTTTTCTTATGCAAATTACAAATTGCAAAACAGAAAATTTTCTTTTCATGCTTAGCAAGTAAATTTTTTATTTGCATTAACAAAAGTTAGTAATACTGCAAATTGCTAATACATTTTATTGTAAAATATGATAATTTTTTGATTCTGAAGAATGTTTTCTAACTTGTAGAGAGAAAAAGGCAAAAATTTTGTCTCAATATATTGAAAAATTCACTTTATATAAAAGTCAGAGTTGCAGGAAAATTATTCATTTTTATAAAAAGTTTCGAAAATTGAAATTTACCGAAAACACCACCTGTTTCGTCTGTTAAACTATAAAATTTTCACATCAAACTGCACATAAAATCGTAGAATTTATGCTATTCATCGGAAAAGTCAATAGCTGTTTTGCATTATTCACTTGAGATATTTTGCATAACAAAATATCGTGAATGAATAACGTAAAAATTGCTTGCTAATATTATGATTTTCAAGAACCGAAATCTAATTTAGCTAGCATTTTGGCATAAAAGTCTTCATATGTGTGTGTAACATAGTATTGCAGTCAACTGCTAATCATAAATTTTCTTTATTTTAAATTGTTTGTTTCTAAGATTAAGTAAAGTATGGCTTCTTTAAAGTGTTAAATAAGTAATTTTTTGTTTGAAAACATAAAATTTAGTCTCGCTTAATGTATTACTTGAATATACTTTAGCATTAACAAATGTAGAATTACGCATTTTGTGTTTCATTTACAAAAGTTTTTTGCTTTTAATTTACTTTCTGTTATCTCTAGTGATTATCACGAAAAGACTTAAATTACACTTTTAATAAGTCTAATTCGTTTTTAGATGCTTCTAAATTTACTCCCATTTGAATTCTAATTTTGATTCCTGTATTTTAGTTTGTCGTTTTCTCCATTCAAATATTTGATCTGATGGTTGTGATTGATTCGAAAATATTTTCAGATCAATCAGATCATTTGTAAAATTAATTAGGTAATCTAACTAATAGTAGTAAATCATTTTAACTAATTATTTGACAATTTTTACTTTTGATATTTGAATTGTTCAAATAAGCAGATTTTTATTATCAGAATATTTATTCAATCTTGAGAATAAATACAAAGTTAGTCATGGAAAGTAAACGTTATTTGAAAATTTTTCGTTAACTGTTGGACATAGTGTATCAATTGGTTTCAATCAGCGCAGTTCTCAGATCTGATCTTTGAGCGAAATATATTACCTAGAGTTTATGGAAGTCAGTAAACTGTTCATAAACTATCAGTGAATTTTTTTAAACAGTTAGCTCTTTAGCGACGTATTCTTTTCATTCAGAGCAATTTAGTGCTATTTCGAAGTTATTGAAGTTTTATTACAAAATTATACTTCTGACAGTCTTGATAATATTTCAATGTAATCGGAATTTACTTACGAATTTGATTATCTCCCATGGCTTCAATTTTTTCTGAGAATTCTAAAAATAGTATAGTTTTTATAATTAATATTTTTTGGAAAAACTTCTCTATTCTGGTTATAATTCATAAAATATTTCTTTTATTATTTATCACGATTTAATTTGTAAGCGCAAAAATAATGCCTGATAGAATTATTGAAATTAGTGACGAGAAAATAAACTAAATAAAGTAATTCACATTTTATTGACTGCTCGCAATTAAAGTGAAGGCTAGGATAATAATTACTCAATTATAAATTAGTATTGTATTTCATATCTATTAGTTGTAATCTAATTTAAAGCTAGCAGAGTAATTATTAATAATGAAAGGAGGGGAATTACATATGTTTTCAGTTGATGAATGCATTCAATTTTAATAAGTTTCAACTTAATAATATTGTCCTTATCATTTGCTGATTTCCTCTCTTTTCTGTTTTCAATTCTCTTTATATTTAAGTTATTTTTTTTTGCAATTAAATTTGTGTTGTAAAGTTTTTGATTTCATGTCGCTAATTTTTGCTACCCTTTCTTGTGTAATGATATATATGTAATTATTATTAAAGCCCTTAGAGTACAGCTGGTCGAAAGTTGTAACCTAGCTTTTCTAAATTTAAGTTTCGAATTGATTTTAGTACTTAACAATGTAGTCAATTTTTTAAATAAATCTCTGTTGGAAAAAGTAAGTTGAATTCAACTGATGTGGACTGAAGTAAATTGAATATTTGATTTTAATAGCTTGATTAAAATGTAATGTATAACTAGGATAAAAAATATAATGCGTGGAAAAACGTTCATTATTACTGACTATAAAATTTTTCCATAGTCTTACCATGAATTAGGGTCATATTGAAGTACTCAGTCTTTTACCTTTCTCTTTTTGGTTAATTTATTTTTCGCTTTTGAATTTGAAAAAAAAGTTTCTTGGGAGTTAAATTGCGAAGGTAATTAAATTGTACAAGACAAAAAACATTTAATCTGCAAAATGAAAGTTAAAATAGTACCTTTCGATTTATTATTTTCCAGTTTTGAGAGTTTTTTTGATTTCAAACGTGCAGTTTTATTTTCAGAGTTATTAAAAATTAAATTTAGCTTCATTAATTCATTGTCAGTAATTTTCAATTAGTCTTTCATTTCTTTACTTATTAATTTTTACAAGCAGTTGTAATGTTTCATATGCATTCAGATGGTATTAACTTGGGATCCACCTGCAGTTGATCAAAGCAATGGTAATATAATATATTATCGAGCAATTTTAACACCTTTGCAGCCAGGAGAGGAAAAAATTATTCGAAATGTTAGTTTCTTTTTTGCTAATCATTTTATCACTCAAAGTTTTATTTTTAAGTTTCCATTGAATAATTGTAGCCTCTTATTTCAACACAGATTGAGCATTAAAAAATTTGAATCTTTTTTTGAAATTTAATTGCGATATTAACTTATTTTTCTTAGTGGAATAATTAACTCTGTAATTTATACCTTTATTCTCAATCATGTTTCAGTTATTTATGACTTGCAAAAATTAATGTTTCTACTCTGCTAATAATATGTTTGCTAACAACTTGAAATAGTAGTCAAAGTAATTTATTCACAAACAAATCTAATTGTTTGCTATAATTCTTTTTTTTTGTATAGTTGAATATGAAGCAATTTTTTATATTTTGATTTGGCTTATCTTTCGCTCTAATTTTCTTTTTAGTGCTTCTAACTTCCTTTTCACTTATTATTGTCGTCTATTATGTACTCATAATTATATCTACTTCTTATTAATACAAAGCATATTTTCTAAAAAAAAAAAAACTGAAAAATATTACACTTTAGATAACAAATGGTCGTTCAGTAAGTTACGAAGCATCGACACGGAAAGCTTATACTTTTAAGGTTGCAGCTGCAACACTTAAAGGTATCGGTCCTTACTCACCAGTGCTTTCTATCGACCCAGATTCAGCAAGTGAGTTATTTTTGTGAAATTATTGTATCAAGAAATGAATTTTTCTAAAGACATTCACAAATAGCTCACTCTGATTAGACTGATCAGGTTGTTGGATGGTGTATACATTTGCTTTATTTGCGTCGAGGTAAGAAAGTGGACTTTATTTCAGCAATTTTTTGATGCAATTTGCAGTTTTAATGAAATGCATGCAGTAATGAAAATAATTTATGAAACGAAACGTAGGCGTTTGTGTCATTCAGAAACAGCAATAATAAATTTAGAATATCTAATTATCTTTGCATTTGTCATTTCTTTATTTTAAGCATTGAATTTTGTACAACAACAACAATTTATTAGTGCAAATTATAAATAAAAATGCTACTTCAGTTTCTGAAATTTTTAACAGTTTTCTCATCTTTTCATTGAATCATAATGTTTGGGTAATAATTTTACACTTTGCATTAGCATTTTTAAAAAAAAGTAAATATATGTGTATAATTTAGTCCGTAATAACAAAAGAATTAAGAGTTTATGTTTGTACACGTTAATTCTTGAGCTAAAATTGTACTGAAGTACACGTTTGATAGCAGCAAATAAAGATACGCTATCATCAGTTGATAAAAGCAAAATTATTTATGCAAAGATATCGCTATCATTTGTGATTTCGTGCAACAATTTTTTGTTTCTTCGTATTTGATTGGCGATCGCCATGTATTTATTTCCTTGCCATTTCTCGCAATTTTTTCGCATCTGGACTGCGTTTTCCCATCACTCGTGTTAACATTCCCGCGCAGTTGGTTTCCGCTGTCTTATTTTTTCTTCGCATTGGTTTGTATTCATTCATTCATATCTACTTTCGCGCATTTTGCCCCATATTTGCTTGCGTTTCGCTCTGCTTTACGTCCTCACTTCGCTTCCAGTTTGAGGCAGGCATCTTTTTGCGATCTTCTGCGCTTCGTTTCATATTTTCCATATCTTCTTTAAGCTAATTCCTTATTAATGAGTTTTTACTTAGAACCTTGAAGTATTTTGTCCAGTTTATTGACTTTTCTCTTAAAATTTTTTTCAAACTGCTAGTTATTTATTTTATTGATGATATAAAAACAATATTCATATTTCACCTGCACTGCACACTTTCTGATTCAGTCCCAGTTTGGACCCTGTCTAGATTTTGTTCATTCCTTCTCTCCGGCAGCCATTTTCTAGCACTTCCTTCTACTTCGTTCTTTTTTACATCTTTTTCTTCGTAGTTATAAATCATTTTTCTGTCACATACTGCTTTACATGTGTTGATTAGTTGAAAGAATTACCTGAAATGACAGCCTTACTTTGAGGATATGTTGGTAGCAAACAATTTTATGAGAACTCTCGTTGACATTTGTGTCACTTTTGACTAGAACTCTGTAAGCTATAGTTAGCAGCCTCAGCAGAAACGTTTTAAATGGGCATTACTTGCTAGTGCATTTCTTTATTATAGTAATATTTTTTGATTTTTACTCTATTATTTGTCGTATTGCATGCCTATCTTTTGCATAAATTACTTTAGCATTAGCCGATATTGTTTTTATTACTGGCAAAAATGTCACGAATTATTTAGCGACTTTAAACTTTAGCGAACTGTAAACCATGCATTTCATAAAATATTTATAATGAATATGAAGACTTAGTTGAAAATAAAACTGTGTAGTAAATTTCTGAGTAAAGTAGAAAAAATATAAAATTGCGAGAAGTCCTTCATTATAAGATTGAAATGAATTTGTAAAAAAGTTGTATTGAAAAAAGTGTATTTTAGTAGGATAACTAGACCACAGGTTTTATTATCTTACCAGTATGGACGTTAATTGCTCCAATTTTCATTTGTAATTAAAACCTAATGTAGTAAAACGAACACTTTTATAATTTAATAGTTTTTTGGTTTGACCAAAAATGGAGAAATTAAAGCTATGTTTAAATCTTAGTAATATTTGCAATTTTTGGGATCAGCTTCATAAATGTAGTAACTATGTAAATTTGTTGAATTTAAAAATAATCAGTTAGTCATTTTATTATTTTATTAATGATTATTTTTTGAAATCAAATTTAAATCAGTGATAAATCTCTGTGGTTTAAAAATTCTTACATAATCACATATCATTGTACTATATTCTTGCAATTAGTTAACTAATACATGTCAGGAAATTGCAGAATAGACAACTTTTCTGAGCTTATTAAGAATCGTATTTCTGAGCTAAAATAAACTTTGCCTGAATGGAAGACAAGAGTTATTTAATTAACTTTTATTTTTGCCTTTCATGAAAATTTTCAATCTAGAAGTCAGTTTCCAGTTTCTACTGAACAGCAGAAACAAACAATAATGTTTTCAGAGTGAAAATTTAGGATAAAAGTGAGCAGTACTTTTTATTGTTTCAACTGCTCAATATTTTTTTGCATATTTTAGTGCACCTTTTTCATTTTATAACCCTGGTTGAGTGAAGTAATTCAAAAATTAACTTTACTTTGTAATTTTCAGGCAAAATTTTTTTAATAATCACTCGTGTGCTACCGTTATTTCATTTATTTGTTCCTGTGCAGCAGGTAGCCTTGGCTAATTTCGCCTTTTCATCTCCAATTTTTTACTCTTTTAAGTGAGCAAATTTGGAGGAAATATTTGACTTCAAAAGTTTTCTGCTTTTAGCGTATTCATAACCCATTTTATTAATGGTTTTTCCACTTAAATTCCTTTTTTTGCAGCTTTTGTAGAAACATTTTTAAAAGCATTCATTTTATTCGTTTTTTGCTACTAATTTTAACTTTTTTTGTAAACTTTCATAATTTGATTTTTCTTTTCTTTTTCATTTAAAATATATTTTCTTCAGCATAACACATATATAGAGCAGTAGAAATTATAGATACGGTTTTTATTGGCTTAGATTACTTTTTACGTGACTCTACTCATCCTTATATTGTTTTGTAGTAACATGCTATCAAAGTATATGTTAGCAAGAAACTTACAAAACTTTTTTGCCATTTTATTTAGCAGTAGTTGAATTCAGCGAACTGTAAAAGTGCTATCGTGGTGTATTGTAAGATTCGTAACTAATGAAGCGAAATCGAATTTATACATGTGCTTTGAATGTTGCAAAATTATCTGATAATTAGTAAGCAGTTGTTTCTTAAGCATTCATTTACTTCTTCGCTTGCTCAGTATGCATGACATGGTAGCAAGATGAAAAAATATTACTTGCAGGCATACATCTGCTTCGTTAACAACTCTTTTTTGCGTCGTTAATGGACTTCCGTACATTATTTTATATTCCCTCTGAAATTACACGTTTCACTTTTGCTATCTAAATTTTACTTTTACAGTTTTTCTTTTCCATTTTATCTCTTTCTTTAATAGTGTCGATAATGGTAAATATTTTTAGTATGGTTTATGTAAGAAAGATCTATACTGAGGTAATAATTCAATAATTCATAGTTTGAGTAGATAGATATGTCTGGGACTTTATTATGCAAGTCAGAATGACATATGTTCTGATGGTGACAATAAGTATTATAATGTTGCGTTTAATTAGTTCATTCATTATTAAAGAACCTATAAAAGAGAGTAATGAATTTTGATCATTTTTTAAAGTTGTAAAAATATCTCTCATTTAGTTCTAAATATCATGAAATAATATGCAGTTGTAAATGATGATAAAGCTAAAATTGGAAAAGAAAATTATTTAAATTTGAAGAAATAAGATGAAATTAGTTTTCAGCCACTGTTAATAATGTTATTAGTGAGTGTAAAATCAGATTGTCGACTTGCGAGAAAAAAATATGCTTTTTTTTAAAAGTTTTATGAGTGGAAATTGAAGTAGGACAGTTTGTTAACTTCTTCCTGGTTTTATCCATTTAACGGGAAAACTTTTTAATTCTTGCAATAATTTAGTTTCATACTTTTTTATAAATTATTAGTGTAGTTATGTTTGAGATTAATATTTTAGTCAAGTCTGATATTCTAGTTAAGAGGATTTGCGGCTTATTAAAAGTTTGATTTTGGTGGGAAAAGCTTAAGTTTATATTGTATCAAAGCCTATAAATGTGTGAGTGAAGCATAAGCACATAAGTATATTAAAGGTGCAAATACCTGAAAAAAAATGGACGGAAAAGAGGAAATTTCTGAAGCATAATAATTGCTTTTCAATGCTTGAAAATCGCTTATTTAGAATTAAAATAGTAGGGAAAGAGTAGGAAGAAGAATGTTTTTTTTTGACCCATTTATACAGGTAGGTGAGTGTAGCATAAGAGATAAAGCCTGTAGCTAGGCTAAGAAGTCAAGAGTTAAAAGCTTAAAACTTGGCTTACGGATGAATAAATGGATGGGAAATGAGAAAGCAAGACCTTGAATTGAACGGCCTTTAACACACAGCCTTTTTCTTCAGCTAGAAGAATTTTCTTGCTGAAAATTTATGTGACCAGATGTAATCGTTGTTT